TTGAAAAAAAAAATTAAAAAAAAAAAGAAAACAATTTTCAAATTGGCTATTAAACAATTTCCAACCCTATGTAGTATACAATAGACCTGCCTAACATACAATAATTTAAAATGACAAAAGGAAAATAATTGGCAAAGAAAGACTAAGCAAATAAAAATAAAAATAAAGCAGTGATTACACTCTTGATATCAGATGAAAAAGACAAAAATTACCAAAGGAGATGAGGAAAGATACTTTTTAATAATAAAAGCCATAAACCACAATGGAAATATTACAGTCACAATATTTATACACTGAATAAAACAATAGTTATGTATAATGTGTGAAATATACACCGTTATCAACATGAGACAGATCAGTAGACAAAATATAAGGTTATAAAACAGTTAAAAATAATAAAGTAAATCTTACTGATGCATATATCAAATACTACTTTCTTATCAATATACTTTATTTTACTAAACACATTAATTATATATTAAGATGCCAAAAACATCAGCAAGTGACATAGAGTTATTAGAAATAATACTCTCTGATCATAAGACAATAAAATTAAAATTAAAAATAAAATAAGCAAAAAATCTCTTCCAGCTTTTACTGAAAAGAGCTTTCTATTTATTGACTCCTAGGTGAAAAGAAAAATACAAATATAAATCTTAAATTTCTGAAAAATAATATCAAACTATTGATAGAAAACTGAGATAATGGATAATTCATATCTACAAAAAAATTACCAACAAAAATTAAAATGATAAAAATAAATGAACTGAGTTAACAAAAAAGTAAACCAGAGAAATACAACCAGGAAAATAATAAAGAAAAAGCAGCAAAGGAAATAAAAGAAAGTCAGTGGATAATATTATTAATAATAGTAATCATTATGAAATAAAAATTAAAAGTCTTTGAAAAAATCAACAAAATAGACAAACTAGTAACTAATTTCAGCAAACAAAAAATTATGAGAAGGAAATAGCTAATGATACAATCAAAATTTAAAACATCACAAGGCACATTTCTCTGAAAAGACTGAAAACCTAGATGGGTAAGTTCTTAGGATAATACGGTTTCCTAAAACTGTCCCCAGTAGAGTTAGAAAACTTGAAAAGATAAATATGCACGGAATAAATAGAGGAAAGTTAAATCATAGTTTTTATGGATGTCCTCTTTTTAAGCAAAAGACTGATTTCTGACCTATGTGAGTATTTGCTAGGACAAGTGTTTTTACTTAGGACCTAATGGTCCCCACATATCTCTTAATATTGTATACATATGTTTATAGGAATGTATACTTTGGGAAGAAGACATAGACCTTCATTTTCATTAGATACTTGAAAAACAATGTATTAAGATATTATAAAGGCAATACAATAAATCTCTAAAGAAAAAGGAGGGGCTATTTTTGAGTTTCTGACAGAATGACTGTATGGCAAAAGAAAATAGAATCCCCTGATTTTGAGGATGTAAACCTGTGTATCATAAAATAAAGAAAATTTAGGTCCCAGGACAATTGGTAGATATTTAGTAGATTACTTATTTCAACATTGAATCTGACATGTATTTAGGAGAGATTTTTCAAAAATTGTTTGTTTTACATATTATCTCCACAAAGGGAAATGGCTCTTAGATACCCCATCAGGCATCCACTTTGTAAAACACAAAAGAAACTTTTACAAATCAATCTTTCTAAAATTATCTTTTGAAGTTCTGGAACAAAGCTCAGCTGGCTCTCTCTTCTTTGGTTCTGTCTCAGTGGTAGGTCAGAGGATTTGAGAATTGAAGGGCTTTTTCAATTATACAATAAGCAGCAGGTTTCCATTAAAGCACAAACTCCATCATCTAAATATATGCTAGGTATTCTTATAAATAAGTGTAAAAGGTAAATCTTTGACTGATTCATTTATTTCTGACACTGGCTTTGTGAATCTCAAGTCTAGTATCTAATATATCTATCAGTTCTTAAAATGCTTACATATTCTTCCTTACAGTTGTTCCAAACTTCACCTTCAAAATTCTTTCCTAGGTTTAGAGAAATTAACTTAGCCCCTAAGTATACACAGTGCTTTCTAATGCTTCTTAGGAACTTCCATGGCTATCATGTATTGGTACCTGGTCAGTGAAGAGTTTAAATGTGTTGATTGAGTGGTATGACAGTTGAGTGGAGATATTAACATTGTCAAAGAAAAGCAGAGCTGGACAGTAAAGTGGTAAAGATGGATTTCATTCAGGAACTATTACAATAGGGGAAAAAGGCTTCCCTCAGTACAGAACTGGGCTCAATTCTGAATACAGGAAGGACAAGTGGGAATGTATAGCCAAGGAGTGAGTTGGGGGTCAGTGGATAGAAAATCACTAAGAGGGTAAGGAGGATTCTGGTTAAATAAACTCAATAGGATTCTTGCTGAAGGTAGGTCAAAGTAATCATGGGGGATGAGGAATTTGATAAGTTACCACGGGTGACCAGATATCAAGTGTGGAGAATTCCCTCTAAAATGACTTTGTAGGATTCTTGCTAAAACTTGGCAAAGCAGAGATGAGCATGGAAGCCTGAAGGTCACAGCCTGGTTGAGAGGAGGGTTCAGAGGAGCCTGATGAAGGTTTAGTCAAGTAGAATCTTTGTTAGTATGATATAAAAATGAGGCAGAAGGTGAAGGCCATGCTATGCCATAGGACAAAGGCATCCTCATAGGTGGAAAATCCTTTCTTCCATAAGTCTGAGAACACGGAGAAGCTGTTTGGGCAGTACTGGAAGTCAAGCCTGAAGAGGTATGATGGGCACATGAAGGACCACATATGCTAGCATGGTTTTTATCTTAGCAGTTGCTGACATATGAGTAGCAGGATTTTTTTTTTTTTAAATGACTCCGGTGTCTTTGTGGAAGGTTTAATGGAAGATAAATAAAATAGCTATGAGAGTCAATTTTAAGTCTATGGCAATAGGGATTTAAGATATAAGATTTTGAACTAGAGTGATATCAGAAAGAAGACATACTGGACAGATATTTTGGAAATAAAATAAAAATTCATGGAGACTAGATGGAGGATATGAAAGGGAATATATCCAAAGACATTTTTCAAGATTTTAGTCTAAATAATTATCATAAGATGGATGATGCTCTTGTCACATTGTATAGAGTTGTATATCTCTCTGCTTTGAGTAGAGTGGAGTGAGAATCTCCTCATTTTAGTTCTAACTTTAACAAGTCTGAACTATCTTTGAAATTTAGTTGATTGACTAGCCAAGCCAAGTGTTCACTGGGAGGCCAGGCCTCTGACCTTTGTGCTCTAGCTGGGAATAAACCAACAGGTGGTAATAGATAGAGGAGACTGCTCTTTTTAAAACTCATGAAAATGTTTTCCAAATTCCCCCTGATATCTACTTAATAAACATGTTGCTTTCAGTTTGTTTACTTGAAATATCCTAAGTCCTAAAGCTATCTGTAAGAAATGTTCATTTGCATTTCAAAAATTTGCCCTAAACTGTCAAATTGAGTAATATTTTCATATGGAGACTTCCTTTGTCAATTCGAAGACAGGAAGTAAACACTATTAAAGTGTAAACAGAAATTCTTTTCCACTGGGTCAGGTTCTGTTTCTTTGCATTTCAAACTGAGTTTAGACTAATGTCTTATACAAGTTTGTTGAATTTAACTGTCTTCCCTGTTCCAAACATTTGCTGAAGCATGAACACATTGTTAAAGGAAACCAGAGCTGGACAGTAAAATGGTAAAAATAGATTTTTTTCAGGAACTATTGCAGAAGGGGAAAAGAGAACTCATTAAAAAACTGGACTCAATTCTAAATACAAGGGAAAATGAGAATTTATAGGCAAGGAGTGGGGACAAGCATTGGTGGAAAATTATTAACAGGAGATATCAGAAATAGGGGAATTCTTGCCAAATAGACCTAAAAGGATTCTTGCTGAAGGCAGGCCAGGGGGATTCGGTATCAAGCGTGAGACATTCTCACCAACATGATTTAGCAGCTTTCTTGCTATCACTGAGCTATGCTGGTCTAGCAGGGACAGGAACCTAGGTCAGGGTTTCCTTGAGAGGAAGACTCAGGGGAGGCTAACTAAAGTTTGATCAAGAAGAGAGTCTTTGTCACACGCGCAAACACACACACACACACACACACGCACACACACACACACACACACACACACACACACAAACACAGACTAAGAGAGAACACACAAGAGAAAAGGAAGATAACTATATACTAATTCTTTTTCCAAGTTTGTTGCTTTACTTCAGCATTGCATTTGTCTACTAATAATGAAAATTTACATGAAGAAGCTATAATAGAAACATTATAAGTATTTTATAAAATTATTGATTTGAAAAGAATGTGGAGAATTTGGAGGGAATACCCAGAAAGTAATGAAAATTAATAAAAGGACCTAAATAGCATGGATTAGGCAAAATAAAAGTGACAAATAATTTTAATTAAAAAGCTGGCTAAGGATAAAAATTCATACAATCATGTGCCTTCATAACTAATAGAGACTTCAGAGATTATCTCCTTATCTTAACAATGAGGAAGATAAGTCCCAGAGCACACACCAGACCTGCAATGAAAAGAGCTTCCCAACTAATACCAACTGTTGCACCAGAGCAAGCCAAAAAGGCCCTTACAGCTACTTTATATTCTCATTATGTCAATATCCTTCTTGTTTTTACCACAAGGCAATTTTTCATTAAAATACACTTACAATTTAGACATATTTATTCCAGAGAGAAGTTTCTGGCATTATTTTCCCTTTAGACACATTTTTTCTTCTCTAGAACTTTCCCTATCATTTGGTGGTTCATGTTGCATAATTAAACTAGTCACTCACTCGGTCACTCAGAGAAATAAGTCACTGACTAGATCTTATTAAAAGACTGATATTTTTGGAAAATAAAATTTTATTAAATAAAAAAAGACTGATGAACTACATTGGTGAATAATTTATTGATGAGCTGGTGAGTTTTTATTAAATTGCATTTATTTTTTTTCAGCAATGACAATGCAGTTTATTAGTCATCAGTTTCCTGATTATCATGACCCCACTATTGGTGAGTATAAGCCTCTTTTCTCCTTTACCCCAAATAAAGAGACACTATATAAGTGGCTGACAAATATTGTTGATGTCTATAGACAATAAGAAATATGTTTTACACTTTGACCCAGTACACATACACATAAATACAGAATACTTAAGGTCCCACAATACGGACTTTGAGAAACGATATTTGTCCTTACTTCTTGATATGCACTCTTGTATTTTCCATTCTATTCTGTTTTTTTTCTTTTTAATTTATTTATTTAAATTCAGGTTAGTTAACATGCAGTGTAGTATTGGTTTCTGGAGTGGAACTCAGTGATTCATCACTTACACACAATATGCACTTACATACAGCACTCATTCAAACAAATGCCCTTCTTAATGCCCATCACTCATGTAGTCCTTCCCCCCACCTGCCTCCCTTCAAGCAACCCTCAGTTTGTTCTCTGTCTTTATCCTGATAAACGATGGCCAGAGTACATTAAGTTGATTTCAGAATCCACTAATAGATATCTACCTGCATTTGAAAAGCTCTGCTTTGGATAAGATAAGTGATGTTATTGTATGCTTATGTGGTCATTTGCCTACTTTATCAGCGTCTAGATCTTGTATTGCACAATTACTTAACCATGTTAATTGTTCATTTGGAAAGTACTTTAGGTATAGATATAATTTTATTCACCATTCTCATCTTGTAGGTGGGGAAACTGAGACCCAAAGAATCAAAATATTGTTAGAGCCAAAAATCCAGCCATGTTTCATTTTTCCTGTTCATTTTTCTTTTTTTTTTTATCATACTAAGTATAAGAAGATTGTAATTGGGAACAAGTTTTCTCCCTCAATCAGAGCAGAAAAGATGTCTTTAAAACTGCTTTACTCCTGCAAAGAGCTTACTCTAAAGGATCGGTTGAAAATTTGCAGAGTCTGCCATAGTGCTAATGGCACTAATACACTAGCACTGAAAACACATCAAAGTGTTAATTCATGGGAGAGGAAAACACATAGTTCTGGACCCCTCATGGTTGCCAGGTTGCCTGGACTACACATCTCATCACTTATCCTCTTTCTTCCCTTTGTCTGATTATCACCTATCCTCACTTCCAATGGGTATGATACTCTAATTCCTATTTTGCTCATCAGGCAATTTCAATTCAAGGTCCTACTGTGTTTAAAAAAATGTTATCCTATATGTGATAGGATATAGGACATTTGCCTAAATACTACTACTGAAATGAATAAAATGTACTTGTTTCTAAATGTTCTACAATTCAGCAAGACTTCATCAGTTGAACTGATTAGTAAGATTTCAGTGCAGGAAATTTATACATCATTAATCAGAAAATACTTCCTCAAGGAGTTGATTTTTGTTTCTGAAGAGACAGTAATCACTTTGTAAAGTTTTAGAAGCAATCCTCTAAATCCATTTTCCAAACATCTTGATTCTGGAATGCTGGTGACTTTGCCTAACACACTATGAATTACAGAAGAGGAGAAATCTCTAGGCAAAAGCTCTGAATCTTTTATCATGTTGGAAAATCCAACAGTACAGTATATCATTTATTAAATCACAAATTCACTCTGTTGTTCATTACTTTTCATCATTGTTTAAGCTTTATATGCATTGGTGTTTGCAAAAGCTACCTTTGCTCACCAGCCTTTCATCTAATGGCTTGATTAGGGCAATATGTGTGAATAAATTATAAATGGTTCTTTCAAGGGGAAGAAATGAGAAGATGATGATGATTTCTTTAGATTTCTATGAAGTACATCCATCATTTGAAATTAAGATAACTGGACATTATGTATTAACAGACATCTAAAATCATACCTTTATCTGGCTATAAATAAAATAGCTTTAGAGGAAGAATTTTGAAAGTGGAGACACAGAGCACTTTATTACTATCAATTCAATTTTCCCATCATTTCATTTCCTGTCTTCTCTAATGAAAATATTGGTTAATAATTTTCCATTGGTATCCTGTTTGAAGAAGGTAAAGGTGCCAATAATTCACCTTTCATCTGCTCAAGCTACATAACTATAACTCAGGCTGGCTGACTTAATAACCCCTCAAGAGGAAATTTGTATTAGTGCATTTTGAAAATCATACAAATTAGAGAAGAATATGCCTATCAAGGATACTTATTTCACAATTTATGTAGGAAATGAATACCTTTTCCATTCTGTGCAGATCTGTTTGTCATCCTACTGACTGAGGTTTTTGGAGAATTTTTCTCTGAAATGTTTGAAGGATTTGCATAATTTTATTATCTCCCTTATATTTATCTTAAAATTATTTTTCTCTCAAATCTACATCAATTCTGAAAGTTTAGGTTTCCTTTATTACTGACAAGAATGAAGGATATTATCTGGTACCAATGATCTAGCCGAAGGAGTAATTGCTTTCCTTATTAACTGAACATTTTCAATGTCAGTAACCAGTGGGTCTAGCATCTGCAAATCCACTGAAGATACTATGAAAGGGATATTGAAAGGTATTGATTCTATTCTTTCATAAGAAGACCTCTCAAAAATTAAATTAAGTTTCTTAATTTAATTTAATTTAATTAGGTGCCAAATGTGGATAAATTGAAGCTTTAATTTAATCTTTAAAATGAGTATCTCTAAGCATTAGGCATTAAGTACAGTTTGATTTTCCCATAGTAAAGTAATTATGGAATAATAAGAAGAAATATTTTGACCAAAGCCTTGATGTTCAACCCTTTGTAATAAATACACATGCTATTTTTAATTAGCAATAAGTCATTAGAGATAACCATTGCTTACAATTAAATTAGCAAAAAATTTAAATGCCTACTCTTTGCCAAGCAATCTGCTGGTCCTCTAGAAATAAAAGTTTAATATAGCACAGTTCAAGCCCTCAAGGACTTTTCAACTCAACAATAGAAATTAAGACAAATACACAGATATTTAAGCCATCTATGAAGTCAGTTATTACTATAAGAAAGAAGCAAAGTGCTGAAGGATTTTGAAAGAATGGGGAGAAAGTTCAGTGACCTCCTCTTAAAGTTTTATTCACTGTGATTAGGATCACAGTTTCTGATGTGTTTTAAAAACCAAGACATTCCTGCTATCCATTCTAGAATTCAAATCCTTTGAGGAGACTTTTTAGAGAAGTCTGGATTTCTCAAAAGCTTGACATATTTGAGAGAATGACCTAGAACAGTTTGTTTTGCTGTGTCCTTTAAATTTTATTGTAACTTGCTCAAAATTAAAAATGTTATTGCATGTAATTTTAATTTACTATCCATTAGATATCAAGTTGTTGTTTTTTTCTGAAATATAATATGGTGTTACTTTCCTCCAATCCAACAATGTAAATATCAGGTTCTCATTTGTGGACTGTATATTTAGTCCAAATTACTGTTTATTAATGTCTTTATATGTTGAGAAGTGTTTCTGTTCATGCTTTTATTCATAATCAAATGAAGGCAAACGTGAGCATAGAAAAATAGGTAACTTTGCATGGCAAATTATGCAGATGGAAAAAGATGTAGTATCAAAAAGATTGCTTTCAATATAACATTTAATATTGGATGGAAAACTGTGAACCATGAAGAATTTGTGTTCACTCTTCATTATGGAATGTCATAATTTTGATCAAGTCATATTCATAATTATCTCTCCCTGTCCTCAAAGACTATTGTTTTAGCCTCCTTTCTCTGCAAGCCTGTTTACAGGAGCCACCCAGGCGCCCCTGTAAATTTATGTAAAACTCATATATCTATTTAGTACATATTAGGTGTCAGGTATGATGTTACACACTCTATACATAGAGATAAAAACACAATCTGTGCTTTCAAAACACTCCCAATTAGGTGGAGAAGATAAATCAGCAAACAAGATCATCAATGAGTTTATGAAAGAGAAAAACACAAGGTGCAGAAGAAGGACAATATAGGAACATCTCACCCAACTAGAAGGGTACAGAATACGTGTAGAGCAAATGTTTTCTGTACTGAGTTTTGAAGGGTGCATAGGAATTAGGCAAGTGAAGAGGAAGGAAAAATAGACATTCCCAGAAGAACAAAAAAATACTGGCACCAAAACAAAAAAATACAGCATGTGACTGAGATGGGGCATTTCTGGAACCAGAAGTCCTGAAGATGAAATAAATGACATAATGTGCAGAGTGGCAGGAGGGAGGTAAAGATTTGTCAGGGATCAGGTCTTCAAAGGTCTTATAGGATTGACTAAAGGTTTAAATATCTGAAGTCTTGTACTCTTACCTGAGATGAAAATAAATATTATTGACAGACCACTTAACTTTGTACATTTAGATAGCTCCAAGGCAGATAAAACTAAACATGCCCCAACTTTAACTAATAACTGATGATGCTTAGTAGACTTCCTTCAGGATTATTCATCATGGTAAGCCCCTTTATCCACCAGGATCTCACGCCAAAGCCCAACAGGAATCCTTGATACCTGTCTCAACTTGTCCTATATTAATCACTCACCAAAGTCTGTTGTTGCTACCTCCTGAAACTAGCTTGAACCTATCCCCATCTTTCCATAACCTCTGCTGCCTTCTTATTCTAAGCTACTTCCATTTCCAATTTAGACTAACTCATCCAGTTGCTTTTTACACAGATTCCACAAATATCTTTAAAACATAAATTTGCTCTTCTTAACAATCCCCAATATTGTCAATTGTGATTAGGGTGAAAAATAAAAATTTAAGAATAAAGACTCTCATGGTTTGCTACTGTTGCTTACACACTTGTCACACTCTACCCCCTTTTGGGCTTCAAAAACATCTACCACTTTTTAGATTAGCCAACTTCCAAGCCCCTTTTTGCCTTAGAACATTTATGCATATATTTTAACCCTGAATGCTCTTTACCTCTCCACTTTCCATCTTTGCCTGGGCAACTCATACATTGGTCAAGTTTCAGCTTAACTATTGCATCCTCAAGAGAGCCCCCTTTGATTACCCAAAATAAAATATGTCCTACTTTCATACATTCATTCAGAACCTTGAATATTAT